GGGGTTGGAGGCATAGGAGTTCGCCGTTCAGGACTGGTCGTTCGGCATATAGATTTCCAGATCGGCGAAACATCGATTTACAAGTTTACCAATTCCCAGAATTATTTTCCTTAGGTCCAAAATAGTGTTTAGCGTATAGCATTCGGAGCCTGAAAACCGTCTGGTGTCCACAATCACCTGACCAATAGTCTAAATGTATGTTGGGGTGTAGCCACAGAATGGTAGCTAAAACTCCTCGTATCTCGGAAAAGTGCTCTTGTCATAATCCACCGCAGATCCCAATTAAGTGCACCCAAAACGAGAAACCCATAAATAAGACATAGTATATATTGTAAGCCATAGTATAGGGTCTGTAGAGGTTACTCAGCTTCATCCATGCATGTGCGGGGTTTCCAGGCGCTTCCAGGCCGTTCCAGGGGGCTCCAGGGGCCTCCAGGGGGCTCCAGGACTCTCCAGCGTCTCCAGACCCATTATTTTGAACGAAAAATGCGCCCTGCCGCGTACTGCCAAAGCCTCGAACCTTGGGCGAGGCTGAAATTTCATGCGGGATGGTCAGGCTGGACTAGGCCACCCACCATGGCGCGGGGGGGGGGGTTGGCCACGGTTCAGGGCAAGGGGATAGGGATTGCGTTGTGTTTGGGGTGTAGAGTCTACGATCATGGCCCCAGTCACGGAGAGTCAGAGGCAAAGAATGCAGGGTGCAATAGCAATTGGGTTCTGACAGGGATGTGAAGAACTGAAGTTAAGTTACCATAATGTGGAACCCATGGCATTGACCATATTTCCTGGTCATGGTAACGTAAGTCAAGTTCTGCAGCAGCTTAGCCTCTAAACCCCAAACCTTGAAACCTAAAAACAATTCAATGTAATTTCTTCAAGTTCCGTAACAGCTTTCCCCCTTAACCCCCAAACCTTAAACAATAAACATGATATAGTGATATGGTGAGAACCTATTTGGAAACAAATTCTGCAACAGCTTAACGCTTAAAACCCAAACTTGGAACACTAAACATGATAGGGGCGACCTATTCTGAGTCCCTCAAGATATAGTGATAATTTTTTTGAGACCCTCAAGATACAGTGATAACAGTGATAAACTATTTTGAGACCTAGTAAATCTTAAGCCCTCAACCCTTAAACCCCTAAACCCTGAATAGCAACGCAGTGTTTTCGAGGGACGCTGTTTCCATTCCTGCACCGCTGCTGGGCAGGCCCCAAAGGGCCGGTTTAAGGGTTTAGACTTTAGGGCTTAGGGGTTAGGGTCAAGGGTGTGGCTTTTAGGAATTGGGGTTTAGGGTTTAGAGTTTGGGGCTTAGGGTTTGGGGTTAAGGGTTTAGCATTTAGGGTGCGGGGTTTGGCTCCCCTGGAGTGGTCTGCAACCCGAACCCCTACTGCCGTGTCTCGCCAATGAGAACTAGGGCGAAGTGTAAGGCGCCAGGGGCAACATCAAGAAGATCCCTCTGGAATCCTGAGGGCCATCAAAGTACTCGGGCGCATGAGAAGCCGGCCAAAGGCAGGGTTTGTGTCGCTTGTCTCCGGCAATACTCCAGCTCTGTATTTGCGACTTGATGGTTGTTGCCCGAAGTGGTGCAGGCAGCGAGCCGACAAAACAGGCGCACGTTGGGATGCACCCATCTGGCAACAATGAGGAGATATAGGAAGAACGGTTTCCAATGTGATGGGTTTAGCGTCTAGGGCTAGGGACTTCACAAGAAAAGTGGAGTGTACAGTTCATAGTTAAGGTTGAGGGTAATGCCGGAGAATCAAACGAAAAAGAACCTGGACAATGAACTGAACTTTCTGCAGACCCCTAGAGCTTGCAGTGGCATTTCAGCGTGCCAGGTTTTCTGCAGCCGCCTGGCTCACAGCAAGAATCGGCCGCTGGCCTCCATCTCCATTTGCCGGAGCCCTGGAGCTGGCGTGATGTGACATTTTTTTGACCTCCTCAAACAAGGCACATGGGACGATCACACAAGAATCGCAAAAGTGCTCCGCCGTCGAAGGCCCAGAGATTGTCCATATATATATATATCTCTCTCTATATTAGAATTGATATCGCCAAACACGTGCTCTGGTATAGCAGAAAACCAAATCTTCGTTCCAACTTGTGGTCGCAGGGGCACAGGCGAAGAGTTCGCCAGGAGAAAGCTGCTGGCGAGGCTGTCTGTTGGGGTTATAACGGGTTCCCACAGTGCATGGGCCCAGGGCCTCATTAAGGGATTATTGGCATATTGGGGGGGTTTGGGCGACAGGCCGGAGAATCGCCTCATGAACGTGAAGCTCCTCCTGCATCCGACGAACCTGGTCAAGGTGGTCAAGCTCAAGCTGCTGGATCTTTCGACTCCATGCTGGCGGTCTTCCAAGTGGAGGCAGGCGTGCTTCACCAGCCATCTTAGACCCCCCACCCGCGACACTGGGATTTCAGAATACCGCTCGGGTTTTTTGGGTGATGCCCAGGCTTTTCATTGCGGTCCTTATGAGTTCGTAGCTTTTTCAAATCGTGAAATCCAGCCAATCTTTTTTGTTAAAAAAACAGGTTCCTTCAGCCATTTTTCCTTGCTCGATCTGGTGTAGGGAACTGCTTACACACCCTCTTTAAATTGCTTTACTTGGGGGGGGTTCTCAAATTCGCTGGTAAGTGGGAGTATTACTCAGCGGAAGCCAGGAAGATCGGTACTCACACCATCGACATCAAACAGCTTTTGGAAAGGCTCGAGTTTAAGGACCACTGGCACCTGCAGCACAGCCCAGAGAACACGGCCGCGCTTGCGCATACTTTGCGTCTGAGCTTCAGGTCCTTGGAGCTTAGGACTTAGGGTTTAGGGGTGTGGCATTTAATGTTTAGCGCACTTAGTGCTTTGGGTTTAGGTGGTTTAGAGCTTGGGGCTTAGGGTCTAGGGCTTGGCATATAGTGTTTGGGGTTTAGGGCTTAGAGCTCAGGGATCAGGGTTTAGGGTTACGGGCTTGGCATTTAGGAGGGCTTAGGCTTTAGGCTTTAGGCTTTAGGCTTTAGGGTTTGGGGTTGGGGGTTTGGCATCTCGGGTGCGGGGTTTCGCGTGTAGGGTTGGTCTTAAGTGACAGGTATTGCTTTGCAGGTTCAAATTTTTTAAGGGTTCAGGGTTTAGGGCTTAGGGTCCACTATAGCGGTTAAAGGATAACGAATTTGGGCCAGGAAATTCAGCAAGCAGGACTGGAGATGCAAGGAGGTTGAGGGTCTAAGGTAACGTGCTATGAGCTCAGCATCCAAACCCTAAATCCCAAATCCTAAACTTTACTCCCTAAATCCCAAATCCTAAACCTTAAATCCCAAGGCCTGAACCCCAAATCCTACGCACGAAATCTTACACCCAAACTTCCCAACCAAAAGCCAACAGTCCTAAACGCTACATCCTACGCGCTAATCCTTGGACCTGGATCCTCAAACTACATTCTAAATCCTAAACTCAAAAGTTAACTTCTAAACCTTACGCACATTAGACCCCAATCCTAAACCCAAAACCCCAAACCCGAAACCTTAAACCCTAAACTCAAAGTTTGCAACTCTTGCAGCCTTCCGCCACATGCACTAGCTGCTCCAGCCTGAAATTCGCGCTTAACCAGGGGCTTCAGGGAATGATGTCGTTCTTCATGGGTCAAATACAACTCCCCCTTTATTGCCCCCATAGTTTTGGGTTTAGGATTATGGTGTAAGGGTTGGGTTTTAGGGTTTCAGACTTCACCAATGAGACCTTCTGTCTCACGCCCCGAGCAGAAATTTGCTAACGTTCCAAGAAGACGCCTACAAATGCCTGTGGACAAGGTAATCCCTAAACTTAAACGCTTTCAACTAACTGGGAGTTTCTCCCTTCCGAATCCTGAAAAAGGCCCTTTAGGTTCCCCAAACTCCTTGAATCCTTAAGGGAGTCCCGCTTCAGAAAACCAGAACCCCAAATCCCCCGCCTTATACCTCGCAAAAGCTTGGGTTCCCAACTACATCTTATACGACCACCCCAAATTAGCTTTAAGTTTTTAAGTATCTCTCTATAAGCTTCAGTAAGGGAGATCCTGCGCAGGGGGAAGTTGGGCGTAGAGGGCGGTAGATTGGGAACTTTGAGCCTTAAACCTTGAAATTGGAAATTCTAAACCCTACATCCCCAACCACAAACTTTAAGCCCCAAATCCAAACCTTACACCGAACCAAAATACTAAACCCAGAACCCTAAATTCTAAACATTAAACGCTATAAACTTTAAATCCCCAAAGAACCTTGAACTCTTGACCCATGACATTGGGTCACATCTTTTTCAGGTCTCGGCCATTGCAGCAGAAGTGCAGCAGTTGCGCGGGCGTCGGGGGCTCGGAATGGCCAGACGGTTTAAGGTTAGGGCTGCCAACTTTTGGGGTGTACGTTATATGGGGACACATGGGTTATATATGTACATGTATACATAGCTCTAAAAATGTAGAACTTCCAAAAGCATAGCTGAGTATATGGGATTATGTAGGGATAAGGGGAAACAAAATTGGAAACGACCAGTTGGGGTTTAGGGTTGAGGGATGTAATCTCCAATATTTGAGCATCACACTTAGAAGAAAGGAAGATGACACGACAATTGGGGTTCGATGTGGATTTACACTTTCCCTCCCAGGACCTTACCCCAAACCAACATGGAACCCCATGCAAGCTCCCTTCAAGGGGGCTTAGGCTGTGTAAGGCTTAGTTTTGTTGGTAGGGGGTAAGGTGTGCGCTTTTTGGATTCCAGGATTTAAGGTTTTAGGCTTCAGGTTTTAGAGTTGAGGGTTTTGGGGTTCAGGGGTTAGTTCTTGTTTACGGGTTTCGGGCTTAATTGTGAATGCTATCGCGCACCTGCCTCGGCTAGTGGGGCGCACAGAAGAGAATCTCCTTCACAAAAAAAGGGTGGGGGGTAGTGGGGGTGGGGGGGATCCCAAAAAATTCATCGGCAGCATGGGCGAATGAGGTGTTTCGGTCTAGGGTCGACATGGGGGCAGGTGTGCGTTAGCTTCTTGTGACAACGTTCCTATGGCAAGGATTGCAGTATATTGTGTGGGATCTTCTTGGAGCCACCTCTTCATGGATACCCCCATATCTTGTGGTGCACCAGGAAGCTATTGAATGAATTACAATTTCAGATCTTCAACCCGCAATGAGCGCGGCTACTCCAAAAATGGCTTAGGATTTAGGGTTTAGGTTTTAGGGGTGTTTACGGTCATGCGGGCGTGGAAGTCGACATAAACGGCAAGCCTTGCAAGGGTCCCAGACAACGTCCATCAAGGTTGCTGGGCGCAGGACGTGCCGCCAACCACAGACCCTGGGAGTAGGGTGGCGCAATGGGCACATGGATATTCAGCCCTGCGTAGGCAGCCCCCCTAACTCTTCAATCTGAGCCCTGAACCTTGAACGATTAAGCCTTAAATCCCTAGAGTCTAAGCGCCTAATCCTGAGCCTTAGACCCTGAACTCTTACCAAACCGTCCTTTTCCCATCATGCTGGACCTGTATCCGGGATGACAAACGCTGAACTTTTAGGGCTCTCAAGCCGTAAAACGTTTCACCCCTGAAGCCTCCAAAGTCGCGCAAAAAATGCCAAGGAACTGCAGCCCTAAACTACTAAACTCCAAACCCTTCGCCCCCTACACCCCCATAACCCCTTTACGGGATCATACTTTGGTAATTCTCTAGACCTCTGCATGCACACTAAAAATCGCGCCCGCCGTCAACAAAATGTTTTCACGGAGGGCTTGATGCTCGCATCCTCGGCCACACGGATGCAAAGGAAGCTCTCGTCGTGACCCCAGTGGGGTTGGTTTAGCGTTTAGGAATAAAGGTTCAGGGTTTAAGATGTAGGGTTTAAGGTTTCGAAAGGTTTGCCTCGGTTCCCAAAGCATGGTCATTTCAGCATATGTAAGCTACTAGTATCAGCTATGCTCGACAGTCAAATTTTAGATTCATGTCAGTCAGGCTTGTATGGGGCACAAACGTGCCTGAAAACATTTTGAAACCCTCTTGTGTGATTTTTGGCATGCTAGGATTTGAGCTCGTTGGGTTAATCATGATGTTGGTGGCAGAGGTGGCAGCTGTCGTGGTGGCGGCGGGGTGGTGGTGCCGCTGGTGCTGCTGCTGGTGCTGGCGATGGTGCTGATGCTGGTGCTGGTGCCGGGTGCCAGTGCCGGCGCCGCTGCTGCTGCTGCTGCTGCTGCTGCTGCTGCTGCTGGTGAGCGCGTGGCGTCATCACCAAACTTTTAGGAGTGGTAGACTGTAACAATATGCCACGTGTCATTTTTGCCTGTGGATGCGGGGTTTGCAACCAATATGTCAGCGCTAGGGTTTGTTCTTTTGATTTTCAATCCGTGGGGGGCGACGGGTGGCGGAATGGTGGTGGATGTTTGGAGCCCTTTCCGCAGAGCGTGGCGACTTCCACTGCCAATCAAGCTGAAGTTAGCCATGTGGCAATCTTCAAAGTTGGATTATTAATCGCGTCCACGATGAGCCGTGTCTAATCAGCATACATCGATACAGTCGCAAAGGAAACCCAATTTTTAAGGCACGGGCATATTCAGTCCGAACTGGGATCATCCTGATAGGACAGTAGCCTCAATAGGGTCATTTTGGGGCTCCCAAAGAGGACACCCTAAGAATCCCCTCAGCTTCCTTGTAAGTTCTGTCGTCTCGTCAGGAATTTCACCCTAATCCCTACACCTTAAACCGCCTCACTGCCCAAACCTTACCTTGTGAACAGCTATAACAATTATGCTGAGGACATCATTGCAAATGTGCGTACATACTACATTGCCATTTTACTGTAGTATTTTACAAATATACTACCATATATTACCAGTGTATTCTGCTACCCACCGCCACCCCCGCCGCCACCCCCGCCACCACCACCCCCGCCGCCGCCGCCCCCGCCGCC